CCCCCCCTTCCCCGCTTCCTCCTACCCAAGGACACGTTGCTGCTCACACCACGCTCTGCTACAGGCTACAATTCACAATGCAAAAATAGTTTAATTCACAAGCAGCTGAGAAAGGGATGTCTCCAAAAATCCCATCTCTGAATCTCCGAGATAATTGACAGACGTTGCCCAACGCCCCATTCTAGGCTAAAACACCAGAGCGGTTTATTCTGGGTTTTTTTTTTTTAATAAGACAGCTGTGAGAAAAAGGGCATTATCTCTACAGAGCAGCCCAGTGCTAGGAGCAGCCACTCAGACCTGTGAAACCTGGGTTTAGTTCCCTCCCCAGCCTGGAGGAACTCAAACCCACATCTAGAAGAGCGTGACGGTTACCAGACTGCACGGTGCCTGCTGGAGGTGTCACCACCGTCTCTCTTGCTCAAGGAGAGTCCTAGGCACAAGGAGGAACGTACCGTAGAAGCTGTCATCAGGCCCGACCCCCTTTTGAGGAGGAACGTACCATAGAAGCTGTCATCAGGCCCGACCCCCTTTCGCAATACTGTACCCACATTCCCTCCCAGCACCCCACGATAAGGAGTTTAAGGCTCCCCTGCGTCCCTGAAGGAAGCTTTTCTTTCTGCACTAATTATAGCCTTTCTCCTGCCATCTGCTCTTGAATACAGCAAGAAAGTTTCAAGGGTAAGGGTGAAGGTGTCCTCACAGCAGCTATCTCGCAGCACAGCCTGGCAAGCTCTTGGGCAGCAGAGGTTGGTTAGAAACATGTTGGGCAAAGAAAGGCAGAAATCTCATCTCCCAGACAAGCGTTTCGGCTGGTAGGCTGCGGGTTTGTGCCTCACCCCCAGTCACTCAAGAGGAAAAAGCCCTTCACAGTGGAGACCGTAACTGCATGCTGCCCTCGCTGCACTGTGCACGTGCTCTTCACCGAGACCCCCTGTATGGGGCAAAACCCTGACAGCAGGGTCTCTTGTTGATGGGCGTTTGGTCCCCAAGCGTGGGCACACCAGGTGTGGCACAAAGATCAAGGACACGAGGCTGCACGACTTGAAAGTCCAGGGAGGCACACCAGGACATCACTGTCACCATCACGTCCAGTGGGATGGGTTCTTCAAGGAGAATCTAGATGTTAATGCCATGTGGCCCTCAACACCTGGAGAGCAGCAGCACCTCCCCACACAAGCAGCAGCAGAACTTCTGGAGTGCCCAGGTACACTTGCACCATGAAACAGAAAGCTGAAGCGCAACCTGGTTGTGCAAGTTTCCTTGTGAACACAGGCCATAGGAATCCCAAGTCAGTCATGCATTTTCTGTAACAAATTTAGGTTAGAAACAAAGATCTGCCAATACATACACTCTCACTAGCTCTGCTAAGCACCGCAGCTAGCCCCTTCCTTCTCTGATGCTCAAACACAGCTATGCTACACAAGCCACTGGAAAGCACACACACACTCACCAGAGCCAGGCTTAACACTCACGGTAGCTCAGCGGGGGTGAATGGGATCACGAATGATCCTCTCCTGCCCCACACTGCTTCCAGAGGAGTTAACACACTGTGATGCACCACAGACTTTCAGGAACATGAAGAACATGCACCCAAACAAAAACCTGCTGAAAGAAACCTCCCTTTTAATTAAGCCTGTGCAACAACTTAAGTCATTTAAGTACAAAGCGTCTTCTGCTTTGAGGGAGCACTGTGTCCTAGAAGAACTGGAAGTTGGTGAACGATTCCAGTGAAACCACTGCGGAGCTTCACTGACAAAACAAAATAAAAGTCTGACTACGTGCAAACTCGTGACAGTCAACGGGACAGGAGTGAAGGTTTCGTTTATAATAGGCTCTGAACACACCTCTATTTAAAACACACATAGAGCTTCAAAAACGTCAGTTCAAATTCAAATTACTGAGTATGTTCATCAGCCATCTTAACATTTTCCAGCACAGCCCACTTTGCTTCCTGTTGCTGATTTCGCTTCTTTTTACTGGTAAAGACACCACGTCTGATCCAGTCCAATTGTCACTGTGCAGATCAGCTTTAGGAGATTGCCACATTATCTCGCTGTCTTCCCACATTTCCACCAAAACTGAAACTTGGCATTTTGTTCCTTTGTCTTCTTTAAAGATTTATTAAGTGAGGAAACAGAAGCTGAGCAACCCACTCTTCCTCTTTTAGATAAATTCCATTTTTAAAAGGGCAGTGATAAAAACTTCCTAAGCACTAAACGTTTTCTCCTGGGCCGTACCATTGACCACAGGTCAGCGTACGGCTGTGCTGGGAAATTATCTGATGCCCTCCTGATGCAGGAGCAGAGAGAACACAAGGAAAAATAACCCCCAACCCCTATAAGGACGATACCATGCCAAAGATCTTGAAGAAACGACATTGCAGGCAGACATTTGACTCCCCCGCAGCGCCTTCAGAGCTGAACTTTGGCGGAACAAAGCTGCCCACAGACCACCGCTTCGTCAGCTAGACCCAGGGCTTGCCCACCCCGAGAAGGGCACCGGCGTGGGCTGACACCAGAGGCATCGGCACTGTGCCGTTGTAGGCCACTGCGTAACTCATTATTCTAAATTTTTTGCAGATTGCTGGGGAATTCACCTAAAATATCCCAGTGTCCTGGAGGAGCGATGTGACTCACCAGGAAGCTGTTTTAAGTTCCTCTTTCCTAAACTGCTATTTGCTTTACCACGCCATCTGTGCTCGTTTGCCCGTGGATGGGAAATCCCCTGACGCAGAGAGCGAGAAAGCACAGGGCTGTATTTTGAGGGACACACCACCCGTGTTCCTGCCAGCTTCCACACCGCCCAAGACTTTATCGTCGCTTGACGTCCAGCCCGGCTCGGAGCTGGCGGCGCAGTCGGTACCGGAGCATCCCTGAACACTCAAGTCGCCATCTGTACCGGGCAGGACTGGTGACAGCCGCCCACGGGGAAGGGATGGACCTTCTCCTCGGCTCACCTGTGCAGCCTCAGCCCACGGCGCTGCCCCTGGGACGGGACGGGACGGCCCCAAACGGCCCGTGGGTTTATTTAACCAAAAACTCAGAGTATTTCAGCTCCGTTGGCCAGGCCACCCTGCTTGCACAAGGAGCGTCAGGAGAAGTTGGCTCGGCAGCTGCCGGAAAGACGAATTTCACAGTGAAAGAGCAAAACCCCCCCCGAGACAGGTGGGCTCAGGCCCGGGCTCAACACCCACACCC